TCCCCATCGACTTGGTTGGACCACTCCCACCATCCGATGGATTCACATACATATTGACGATCATTGACCGTTTCCCAAGATGACCCGTAGCAATAACTCTCATCGATTCTACAAGCGAAACAGTCGCACAAGAAATTATATGTTCATGGATAATATCCGTTTCTGGACTGAAATGAAAATTGTGTAAATTGTTTGAGGAATAAAATCCATAGACACATGAAATCACCATCAGGAAAGTTCAGCCAACCTGATTAACGATTCGCACATATCCACATCGAGTTGGTGTCCAATCACGTCGATTTGGATATGTGTTCATCATTAATATGAATGTGAATCCATTTGGATGGTGTGTCTGTGGACCACTCCCACCATCCAATGGATTCACATTCATATTAATGATCATTGACCGTTTCCCAAGAATACCCGTAGCAATAACTCATCAACACTACAAGCAAAACAGTCGCAAAAGAAAATATTCGATCATGAATAGCAATCTACCGCGTACCCGAAAGGATCACAACCGATCGAAGTCCCCCATTTTTATTCCACTCTGTTGTAGAATAGCTAGCACCCTTTCAGCACTCTACCAGATGGCCAGGCTCATAACCTTAAATTTACTATGATTAAGCACTTCAACAGTCGAATAATAAGTTGATACTAAGCCGATTAATATTTGAACTGATCTTACTTCGTTTGGCTATACAGCATTTGACCCTCCTCTATTCCTTGTAAGTTGTCTTGTTAATTGTTTTGTAACTTATTGTTCAGTATTTTTTGTATGTATTCGTTAACACCGGATACTGGTGCTGAACAAATTTATTAAGCACTCATTCTTCTTTGTGTATCATTCTCCTCGACGATACAACACATTCTATTTAAGGAGCTAACATAACTGCTAGGATCGAAACACATAAAAACGACTGCATATCACCCATGCACAAATGGACTAGTGAAGCGTTTCCACAAACAGCTTAAAGCATCCCTTGCTGCACACCACAGACCAATACGTTGGAACAAGAATTTACCTTTAATTCTCTTAGGATTAAGACCCACCATCAAAGAGGATTTGCAATGCATCACAGGTGAATTGATATACGGAACTCAGTTGGTTTTGCCAGGACAGTTTTTTTTCTGGATAGGCCAGAGAAATTCAGCCGACATTCACTTTTGTGAAAAATTTAATATCAACAACGAGTGACCTATCTTTCACAGCACCCAGAAAGACTATGAAAGATATATACATGCCTAAAGATTTATTCTCAAATAATTTTGTTTTCGTGAGAAGAGACATTGTAAAAACTACTTCAACTAATATATGACAGTCCATTACGAGTGATCGATAATGTAGAGAAATATTTCACCATCGAACGGAATGGACGTACAGTCAGCATATTGATCGACAGAATCAAACCAGCCCATGTCGATTCATCGAAACAAAGTACAAAACCACAAACTCTTACCACAGATCAACTCAAGGAAGATGTTACAGATGATACCAAGCACACAAGATCAGGTCGATGCATCGATTGGCCCAACAGATTCATTTATTCAAGACATATATACGATAAGCAACCTTTTGCATTTCAACTCCTCAGGGACTTTTAGCTGTTAACAGATATAACTGTAATATTTTCCAAAGCATTATGTCACCTCCAAGCAGCAAGCTACCTACAAACTACACCAGATTCAAACATAACTCGCCACTTTCAAAGCAATTTTGAAGGCACGATTTTAAGAATCCCTTTTGGACAGTAAATGCTCTAGAATGCTTTGTTTGACTAGTTTCTAGTTGTCGTTATATGGCAGATCGTGATGTAGTTGCAGGTGTGCTGATTACGTTTAGGTAGAAAATACGTGCCTCCTGGTATATTTTTCCGCAACAATTATTGCGGACTCAAATGTGAGTCCGGGTAATAAATGATTTAATTAACAAAAAATCGTATACAAAGAAACAAAAATGTGTGTATTAACAAAAGTTATACACATTCAATAACAGAAGATTGTTGCGTGTGACAAAACAATGAATATGAAAGAAGAAAACGTTATTTACATTAGTCGGAATATTGTCCTCATCGTTGTCGCTATATTTGTCACAACGTTTCGGCCGTTGTACGCTCCGGCCTTCTTTGGGGTAGACTGTTCTAGTTCCACATGCCATGTTTGATGGATGTCAGTTATCAGTTATCTCCTGCTAATTTTCCCTCTGAAAGTTCTACACTGCCTTAACCAGGAATTGAACTCACCTTCTTTGGGTCTGTCACTGGATCTAACCAACGCCTTTATCCACTGTGCCATGTATCCTTGACGACATCTGGGTATGAACTTCTGAGTATTATAAACCTAATGTTTTCAGCATCATTTTTTTACCAGTGCTCATATTGCAATTTTTTTTGTTATCATTGCATGTCTTTACCAGAGTTCATATTGCAACTTTTGTTATCATTGCTTTTCTCTGGCACTCCTTATTACTGGTTCCCATATTGTATTTATTTCTATGCTTGGTCGGCTCAGGAGATTTTTGTGGCCTAGCATATGTGCTGATTCCTAAGTTTACGAATTTTCCAATGGTGTTCCCTGTCTATGATCTCAACATGATCCCACAGGGGGCGGTGATCTCCTTCTCTCTCCATATGTGGTCAGCCACGCCTGATTTTTCTACTTCCCCTCGCGTTACAGCTTTCTGGTGTTCTTGAAGCCTTACCTTGAGGGGGCGGCCTGTCTCTCCTTTATATTCCTTTCCGCAGCTGCATGGGATAGCGTACACACAGTCTTTAGTCATGTTTCTCTCTCTATGGGGGTTCTCACTCGTGAGAGATACCTGCGAAGTGTTGTCACGCTTTTGAAGGTTGTCCTGATGTTATATGGACCGTAGATCCTTTGTATTTTCTCTGATAACCCCTTCACATAAGGCAGGCAGACTGTTTTCTGAGTTTTGTTGTCCTCCTCCTCCTCCTCCTCCTCCTCCTATTGTACCCGCCTATCCCAGTTTTTGGGGGCTGCTGCCATGTACCCAGGGTAGGGTACTATTTATACTGACCAATTCCTTATCTAACGCCTCTGGATCACCACTTATGACTTTTGCTCGGTGTTGTAAGCATCGGACGATCCCTTTCTTTACGCTGTATGGATGGTGGGAGTTGAAATTGAGGTACTGTCCGGTGAATGTTGGTTTACGGTATACGGATGTCTTGAACCCATTCTCTGTTCGAGATATTAGTACATCCAGGAATGGGAGTGAGTTGTTACTCTCTTTCTCCATTGTGAACTGTATCGAAGGTCTTATTGAGTTCACATTGTCCAGTAGAACCTGGACATCTTCCTGATGTGGCCAGAGTATGAAAGTGTCATCTACGTACCGTAACCATATAGTTGGCTTTAGCGATATAGACTCTAATGCCATTTCTTCAAAGTATTCCATGTATATATTCGCCATTGTTGGTGATAATGGCGTGCCCATTGCTAAGCCCTCATCCTGTCGATATATGTGAGATCCCATTCCGAAGTGTGTTGTTTGTGTACAGAAAGTCAACATCTCCATCAGATTATCTATTGGAATACTGGTCCGCTCCTCTAGGGAAGAGTCAGAGGTCAATCTATCTCTGACTACTGAGAGTGCCTCCTCCGTGGGTACCTTGGTGAACAGACGCACCACGTCCAAGCTCACCATCTGGTTGGATAGGATGGGAGCATCTTTAATTATTTCCACGAAGTGGGCGGAGTTTCGGACATATGAAGAAGACTTTCCGATCAATGGCTCAATTATATCTACAAGGAAGCGACTCAGAGGGTGGCACACAGAGCCTTGGCAACTAACAATCGGCCTGAGTGGAATACCGTCTTTGTGAATCTTAGGGAGACCCTATATGTGAGGTAACTTGCTGTAACGCTGCGATAACTGCCTATACGTCTTGGATGCGAAGTGATCCTTGTTCTTGATTAGGATCTGTGACAGTTTGCGTTCCGTTTTCATAGTAGGATCTTTCTTCACTATGCTGTAGCTACCATTGCTAATGAGGTCTTCCAGTTTTCTTGTATAGTCCGATTTGTCCATCACTACAGTCGCATTACCTTTGTCAGCCGGTAGTATGATGATGTTCTCATTCCTCTGTAGTGATTCAATCGCCAGTCTCTCCAGTTTTGTTATGTTAGACCTGGGCAGCTTGGCTCTCTCCAAGGCCTGTCTCACTTTCCATCTCATTTCATCCGCCTGAGCCTGGGGGATGTTCAAGGCCACCTCCTCTACTCTGGCAATGATGTCCAAGTATGGCACCCGCCTGATGGTTGTGGCGAAGTTGAGACCCTTATTCAATACTGACTCCTCAGAGGCACTCAGCTGATATTGGCTGATGTTGACTACTGCTTTCACTGGTGGGTGATGGACCTTGTGCGTCACCTTCTGATCTTTCAATCTATTTAATTTTTGCACTTGGCGAGCCTTGACTACATCAAATTCATGTCTGAAGGATTTATCCAGGTCATTTTGGATCCTTCTCTGGTCTTCTTCATTGGTAATTCTGTTGAAGAGATCCTCGAGTGTCTGGGAGATATGAGCATGTACTCGATGTTTCATCCAACGGTTGTACTGGATTCTCTCTCGGACAAGGGCGTGTCCCGCTTTCTCTGCGACCCGACGAGTTCTCCTTGAATTGAATATGGAGAGAGAAGGGACATCACCGCCCCCTGTGGGGTCATGTTGAGATCATAGACAGGGAACACCATTGGAAAATTCGTAAACTTAAGGAATCAGCACATATGCTAGGCCACAAAAATCTCCTGAGCCGACCAAGCATAGAAATAAATACAATATGGGAACCAGTAATAAGGAGTGCCAGAGAAAAGCAATGATAACAAAGAGATAGATAGATAGATAGATAGATAGATAGATAGATAGATAGATAGATAGATAGATATTTATTGTAAAGGAAAAGAATAGATAGATAGATAGATAGATAGATAGATAGATAGATAGATAGATAGATAGATAGATAGATATTTGATATTTATTGTAAAGGAAAAGAATAGATAGATAGATAGATAGATAGATAGATAGATAGATGGATAGATGAATAGATAGATAGATATTTGATATTTATTGTAAAGGAAAGAATAGATAGATAGATAGATGAGATAGATAGATGGATAGATGGATAGATAGATATTTGATATTTTAATAAAGGAAAGAATAGATGGATAATAGATGGATAGATAGATAGATAGATAGATAGATAGATGGATAGATAGATAGATTTATATTTGATATTTATTGTAAATGAAAGAATAGATGGATAGATGGATGGATAGATAGATAGATAGATAGATGGATAGATAGATATTTTATATTTATTGTAAAGGAAAAAAATAGATAGATAGATAGATAGATAGATAGATAGATAGATAGATAGATAGATAGATAGATATTTTATATTTATTGTAAAGGAAAAGATAGATATATAGATAGATAGATAGATAGATAGATAGATAGATATTTGATATTTATTGTAAAGGAAAAGAATAGATAGATAGATAGATAGATAGATAGATAGATAGATAGATCTGAATAAATTTGACATTTATTAAAAAGGAATAGGAAAAGGATAGATACAGAGAGAGAGAGAGAGAGAGAGAGAGAGAACTTCCGATTGAGTTAGAGAGGAATAAGGTTAGATTGACAGATGAAATGGGATCAAGAAAATATCAAATATGGATCAGAATTCGACAGAATAATAACATCCTTTCGAAGTTCTAAGAAATTAACGGATTCCAAGTCTAACTGTAAGTGTGTGTGTGTGTGTGTGTGCGTGTGTGTGCGTGTGTGTGTATGTGTGTACGTGAGTGTGTGTGTACGTGAGTGTGTGTGTGGTGTAGGTGTCTGCCTGTGTATGTCTGGTAGTCATGATGTTTTTCTATTCTTCAACTTTTGATTTGGGAACGTTTTTGCTTACATAAACTTTGTTTAAGATAAACATTCGTTAGATTCTTTAAGAATGGATTCAATAAACGTTGATGACGTAATATAATGTTTTTGACGTGGGTTTATGGCTCTTAATAGTGTCATTAATAATTCCTTGAAGTATTTTCGACGTAAAAAATTATGCTCTTTTACTATGATTCCCCCCCAATAGAAGGCCTTAGAGCCACTGAAGGTAGAGGGTTACTGAATGGGAATGCTTTTAGGGGCTTACTTGGGTAGGATATATAACTGTTGGATATCGAGTTCAAGTATGTAATGACCAATGAATCATCCCCCCGGGCGTCTTATCCACATTGCAATGGATCTGAGGATGAATCTGTCTGAGTGAAACTTCTTCCTTGCCAATGGAATATGAAAGGAATAAGGATGAGACGACTCAGTGTATGTAGCATAGCGGATCCGAGATGTGAAATTCTGGATTGGTGGAGTCATCTTCTTAGGGGTTATTTAATGTCGAAATTTAATTTTCTTTGGAGAAACAGTAATTGTTTACGCCTAAAACTTATCAACTGTGGCAAAATATTACTGTTCGTTGAGAGTGTGGGTCTTTTCGCGTGTTGGACATAAGATGGAAAGTTATTTATAAATATTTATATTTATATGAATACAATAATTGTGAAACATGGCCGAAAAGGGGAAAGAGGGAGAGGCTGGTCTTCGCTAACTATCCTATTCCTAAGATGGAAAAAATACGAGCATACTTTATCTGTTATCTTTTTGTATTGTCTTGGCTGAAGAGGAAGTGACGTAGGTCGTTACTGATTAATCGCTTGTGATTTCAAGATCAGCGGTGCCAGTTACTTAATGAGTCCATTTGTTGTGTGCTTGGCGGATTTTTGCTTCAGGATCGGCTGATGGAATGAATACTGCTTCGGGAGGCTCTCTTGGGCGAACAAGTATGACGTTGAAAGACCCGAAACTTGTCATGGCCTCAAGTCATATCCTCACTGACGAGACGATCCTGCGCAGTTGTTGGAGTGTTTTCATTGCAAATATGGTAATATTTACTTTTTTATTTTTTTATTCTTTTATTTTTTTTTACTATGAAAATATATTACTTTTATTTAACTATAAAAATGTTTATATTTTCATACTGTTTCTATAGGTATTTAAAACAAAGAAATACGTCTTCAGGAAATATTCATTAGATAAGTCAGTAAATTGTTACTTCGACGAAAGGTGCTCATTTCATCATTACAATTTAGAATAAATGTTGTATTTTATCGAGGAAATACGACATCATGGCGAGTATGTTGATTGCTTGCTTTTGTTTAGTGGCATATCAAAACCTCCATTTAATACCGAAATCTAAGTCTGTCCATATTTCTGAGATGAGGTATTATGTACATTATTTACATTATTCGGACTATTGTCCTCATCTTTATCACGTTTCGGCCTTCTTCAGGTGGTAGGAATTTCGAACTGAACCCTTTATTTCGCTCACGTGCCATGTTTGATGGATGTCAGTTATCAGTTATCTCCTGCTAATTTCCCTGCCTTAACCAAGTATTGAACTCACATTCTTTGGGTCTATCACTGGATCTAACCAACGCCTTTATCCACTGTGCCATGTGTCCTTGAGGACATCTGGGTATGAATTTCTGGGTATTAGAAACCTAATGTCTTCAGCAACCATTTTTACCAGTGCTCATATTGCAATTTTTGCTGTTAATCATTGCATGTTTTTACCAGAGCTCATATTGCAACTTTGTTGTTATCATTGCTTTTCTCTGGCACTACTTATTACTGGTTCCCATATTGTATTTATTTCTATGCTTGGTCGGCTCAGGAGATTTTTGTGGCCTAGCATGTGTGCTGATTCCTTAAGTTTACGAATTTTCCAATGGTGTTCCTTGTCTATGATCTCAACATGATCCCACAGGGGGCGGTGATCTCCCTTCTCTCTCCATATGTGGTCAGCCACGCCTGATTTTTCTACTTCCCCTCGTGTTACAGCTTTCTGGTGTTCTTGAAGCCTTACCTTGAGGGGGCGGCCTGTCTCTCCTTTATATTCCTTTCCGCAGATGAGGACAATAGTCCGAATAATGTAAACAATGTACAGAAATCTAAATATGAAAATTCAAACTTTATAATTCAAGAGAATGGTATTTCATGATTAAATTATAATTCCTTAGCTGTATTACTGCCGAAATGTCCGACCGGGAGTGGAGTGTCGTTTGGTGCCCTGTTGTGGCCTCTGCCATTTTTTCAGCACTGTTTTATGGCCATCCTCCATTTTTTAATTATTTTTAAATTGACATTACATTGTCAGTCAAAAACTAATAATATACATCGTGTATTTGCATGTTCAGCGCGGTGCAAACTACACAGAAACCCTCAGCGAGGTTGGAGACCCAAAATGGCTAGTTTCAGCATTTTTCAATATTTTTGCTTTTTGTACTTTTTACCTTTTTCTACCTAAATTATATTGTCAATCATCAATTATAATAATCGACAGGGCCGGTGCTTAATACCCCGAACCTCTCAACCATGTGGGGGCCCCATGACTACTGGGGAGGGGGGCAAAATTGCTAATTTCAGTAGCGCATATTCTTTTAAATTGTAATTTTTGTTCTGGACAGTTCTTTTAAATCAATTAAGAGGGTAATAATATCGGTAAAATAATTTTTTATTCCGTGACCATCCACGAAAGAGGGTCTCTGATCTTTTCTTATACTAATAGTCATATTAACCAGAATTCCAAGGCTAGTAATTAAAATAAAATTCCTAGTCGCCATTTTTTACATTTCTAGAAAGACAAAACCGACAAAATGATCGCTTTAAAAGTTAAAATGTTTAAAAATTTCAACACATAAAAAATTTCCTGAAAACTGAAATACTGTTTTCAAAACAAATTTTTAAGACAATCCCGTTTGTGTTGTGTCGAAATTTTTGTAAAACTTTGTTTTTCTTTTTCTTTTTTTTCTTTTCTTTTTTCGTAACAGATTTAATGTTTAGTATAGAGCTTAGAAAAAAATCGCATTGTGAGATAGGCAAGTAAGGCATGTAGCAACATTAGCAGAGGGCACTCCTTTAAAGGCAAGGAAGGGCAAAAATATTTTAAGTCAAGTGATAGCGATTGCTGTATGAATCGTACGATTTTTTAATCAAACACGGGCAACGCCGGGCCATGCTTCTAGTTTTTACTATAAAAATAGATTTTTATATTTTCATAGTATTTTTATTTCTATTTTGGTGTTGACTATTCCCCCATAACTGGGACCCTAATACGTGCTACCACCCTGGGTCAGGATTAACCTGGGCACAATAGCAATTAAGTTCCACCTTCCTCAAAAGCCTTACTACCAGATGTAGTTTATAGTCATACCCAGGATGAGTGGGAGCCATAGAACTTGGGCGGAACAAGGAACCGATAATTTTTTTCGGAATTTTTAGAGGTGCTTCTTATATTCAAGTTCCACTTAAGATCTCGAGTGAACTTCTCCCAAAAGATGTTCCAGGTTACTTGCCTCATTCTCAAACGTTCATCATGAGTGTAGGAAAATCGGGATCTGCTCTCTGGTGATGACACCTTACTAACTTGTTTTTAAAGTATTGAATGTTATAAACTTCTTTTCCCATTGAGCTGTACGAGTAAGAGCAGAGTCATGATCAACTGGCAGATTCTAGCCACCTGGATTTTTGGTAGTGCTCCCTTAAATGATGGTATAGTCTGCATATATATATATATATATATATATATATATATATAGTCGACTCAGATCAGTTCCAAAGAAAGCGACAGCCCGACAACGACACATGAGATTTGATTATAGTGGTGAAGGTTTCGTGCAGGATCATCCACACTTTTTGATGGGCCGAATTCAGAGACCTGGTGCACTAAGTGCCACAAGGTCCCCAAACGACCCTCAGCAGGTTTTGAATTCAGAATTGTCCTTCTCCTAGACCAGTTGCTATCCAAGGCTATAGAACCCATTGTGTCCTGCTATTTTACCCATAGCTGGAGGAAGAGGAAGAGGATTCATACCTTTCCCAGGGATATTAGAATGTAATGGATTCGACAAGAATTCGAACTCAGCTCTATCCATTACTCCACCGTGCCTCCTAATATATATATATATATATATATATATATATATATATATATATATATATATATATATATATGTGTGTGTGTGTGTGTGTGTGTGTGTGTGTGTGTGTGTGTCTGTGTGTGTACGTATGAAGAAATATAGTCTTAAGGTGTGCTATATTTATGGGATAAATTGCTCAATATCAGAGATAAAGCGTGTGTAAATATAAAAGTGAACATAGAAGTCAACACTTAGAGGCGACAGACTGTTTCATGCTTGACGCAATCGTCAGGCCACTAGTATTTATAGAAAATAGTTTTTATTACCGTTTAATCTTACTTTCTCTTTAAATAATTTCTAATTAGAATTGTAAGATTGGAAATTTTACTTAGCTGGAAATAATCTCAATTTAAATTGATCATTTAGATTTAAATTAAAATATGTTACTCCTTAACTATTAGTCATGATGTTAAAAATATTAAAATTAAATATATTTTTTGAAATTTAAACACTTAATTTACCACCTAATGTTAGCTGTAAAATTTAAGAAAAAAAATTAAATATGTATAAATATTTATGTGTGTGGAGATATGTAAATGTATGTGTAAGTATTTGTATATATATATGCATATATACCGGTGTATATCGATACATGTGTATGTGGTTATATGTGTAATTACACATGTATATTAACGTATGTATATTTGATTTTTACGTAAATATGTATGTGGTGTATGGATGAAAAAACAGAATTTTTTTTTTTACTATTACCCATTACTCTTACTCCATCTTGATTTGAAACCTAAACTTTAATTAAGAAATATTACCCATCTAAAAATATATACAAATTAAATACATGAATTAGACTCAAACTGATAAACATTTTACTTTAACAGTCATTCACAATATTAAAATATTACTATTTGTAAACTTTTATTTCTTTATTATTGTTGTTTATTAATATAGTATTCAACTTATATTAAATCCCTAATTTATTTGTAGAGAAGTTGAATATTTAAATTGCTAACAAGCATTAAATTAATTTCTTTGTGGAGGTTTTTAAACATTTAAATTACTATCAAAAATTAGAATCTGTTTTTATCTAAATTGCTAAAGCTATACCACCCCTCTTCTTCCTCCGAAAACCCTAAGTACATCACTTATCTCTTTATTTCCCCCCTTATTTTTTCCCTTTTTTTTCCTTTTCTCATATCATTTCCGTTGAGTTGATCGATTAAATAGCTCAATATCTGATCCTTACCCCCTCCTTTCACAATATTAAATATTATAATAAAAAGAAATATAAAAATAAATTTTAAAACTCTCCCTTCCCTTTCTAAACTCGACCATGTCTCTCATACCATTCCTCGCTACCTTCTATGTTAACTTATATAAACTTAATACTGCCCGTCAAAAGTGTAATTTTTAATTTCATTTTTCGTTTCATCTTTTGTAAGTGATGTCTGAAGATCCAGGGAAAAATAAAAGTCTCTGGTGAAATAAATTATTACAATGGAGTCTTAAAGTGGTCTGTTTTTCTTTAAATTAAATTATTCGCTCTGAATTGACATTGAGCTCTTAGGGATTTCATCCTCCTTGGGATTATCCATACGGATTACCAAGATTTTCGTTACTTAACTATATATATATATATATATATATATATATATATATATATATATATATATATATATATATATACTAGTGATCTGAGTATGTTCTTTGACAAATAGTTTATATAGAGTATGAGAAGTGTAAGGCCGAGAAGCGAACCTTGAGAACAACTGCAGTTATCTCATGCACGTCAATGGATTGGCCATTCGAAATGACTTTCATGGAGCTACTCGAACGGAATGTCACACTTTGCGAAAAGCCTTCCAGATATCTAACGCGATTGCGCTTGTGATGGGCGTAATATGAAGCGCTTTACTGAATCTATGCATAATAATTGTTAAGACATCAGCAGTGGACCTATATGAATGAAATCAATACTGTTTGTCGCTCAAGTTAATTGCGAAGTGACTGACAGCCTTGTTGCTGATGATAGCCTGAAAAGGTTTGTTGATAACAGAAGAGTATGATGGGACAATATAGCGATTGAGTAGGTGCTTAGCCGAATCCTTGTAAACTGGGCATACAGCTGAAACTATCCACAGACCTAGGCGACTCCATCAGGCAACGGTTAAATAATTTTGCCAAGGCTATGGATAGATCTGGGTTAATGATCGTAAGAACAACTACGGGAATTTTATCCGGAGCAGTAGCCTTCATAAGGTCAAAGATTTGATGAGTCTAGAAACTTCGTGAGCCGAGACAGAGACATTGTTTCTGTTTCGGGATAAGAGGGAAGAGAGTTAGAGGATAGCCAGTGTATGTGGAAAATATCATATACAAATATATAATAGTGGGTAATCGAATGATAAAATGAAAAAAATTGTTATATAATTAGGAAGAGACTTAGAGAGATAGATAAGAATATACTATGAGATAGGTGGATAATGAAGATAGATAGATAGATAGAGAGATAGATAGATAGATAGATGGGAATTAATTTGATATTGACGTAATGTATGTAGATGGTTAGATAGATTGAACAGGTGGAAATGGATAGATAGAACAGGCAGAGATAGATAGAAAGAATGATTGAACAGACATAGATAGATAGATAGATAGATAGATAGATAGATAGATAGATAGATAGATAGAAATTTGATATTTATTATAAAGGAAAAGAATAGATAGATAGATAGATCTGAACAGATTGAGATAGATAGATAGATAGATAGATAGATAGATAGATAGATGCGAACACATTGTGGTACATACGTAGGTTATAAGGCATGGACAAAATGAGGTGAATAAATATGTACAGAACGAGTCAGATACAATGAAATATAAGAGCTAAGATAGATAGATAGATAGATAGATAGATAGATAGATAGATAGATGAACAGACTGAGATAGATAGATAGATAGATAGATAGATAGATAGATAGATAGATAGATGCAT